CCCATCTCAGTACGAGTGAAAGAATCTTGATTCTGGAAGCAGTGGAGAGTGGTAGGCAGAGCTGAAACCTGTCACTGAGACCCGGGCTCCACCCTAGCTCCACCACTTATTAGCTGTATGACCTTGAATGAGTTACTTAACTTCTCTGTTCCTCAGTTTCTTGTGTGGAAAACAGAGACCGTAACCTACCTTGCTGAGGTTCTGTGCAGTGGTATTCTGGTAACAGCCAGAGCTTCAGAAAGCCAATGTATACACACACACGTTTACTATGAATGGTAAGATAAAAATATTTGTAGCACAATTTACAAAATAAAATATATAATACTCTTTATTATAAATTCCAGAGAGCCAAGTGATTTTTATAGAGCACTTTCCTCGGTTTCTGCCAACGTCATACATCAGCAGCCAACCTGTGGATGCATTTGGCAGATGAGTGTAGTTCTAACAAGGCTGTTGGGCCCTGGTTGGTGTGGCTCAGTGGACCGAGTGCTGGCCTGCGAACTCAGTGACAGGTTGCTGAACTGAGAGCCAGCTGCTCTTGTTTGTAGAGATGGAAATAAGAGGAAGGTCCCTATTCCCCTTGTGGGGCTTCCGTATAGTGGGAAGAGGACACAGAAGGAAGTAATTATAACGCAGCTGGTTCTCTGCTAGAGTCGTGTCAGGGTCCCACGCTGGCCCTTGGGTGGAAGCAAGTAGTCACGTGTGTTGGAGTGGAGGGGTCACAGAGGACGTTATGGTGTGGAAGAGCTGGAGCTGGGTGGTGAGGGGGAAGGAGAAGCTTGTCAGGAAGGCAGAGAGACCTGCAGCTGTGGGTGGGGGTGATGAGAAAGCCAGTCCTGCTGTAGCAGAAGGTGAGCTGGCCAGAGGTGGACACCTGCCTGGGGCCTGGGTGATACTGGAGGCCAGTGGGGTGTCATCTGCAGAGTGCCAGCAGGAGAGTGAGCTGCAGTCCCGTGAAAACCTGCCCACAGAGGTCTGGCAGCGAGCGGCCTTGCTTTCTCAGGTTACCCAGCATTTCCTGAATAATCTGGGGCTGTGTTTGACATCGCCAGTGAAGGTTCATAGGCAGCTTCCTCGTCCCGGGCTAGGCCCCTGCTCTGCTGAGCTGAGCAGCTTTATCTGGTGACAAGCAGTCACGCGGGCACCTGGAGAGGACACTAGGCCAGGGCCCAGCAGACTTGGACTCTGCTCCTTGATCAGTAGCCTTGGCGGATTCTCAACCTCTGAGGCTTGCTCTGCAGCATGAGAGGACTAAATGACCTGAGGTCAGCCCCAGTGCTGTGAGTCTGGGGGTGGGGGGGCGATGGGAAGAGGGAAGCAGAGGTGAGTGAGGGAGGAGGCGGGTCCATGACAGGCATGTTCTTCAGCCATACGCAGGTGGTGTAGCAGGGACTCGGGAAAGTTCCCAGGAATGACTGTTGTCAGCACTGTACCCCAGAAAGGGGAGGACAGATACAGCTACCATTCTCTGAATCTCAGCAGGCACTGCTCCTTATGTGACCATCTCTGAGTCCTCAGAACAACTCCGTGCTATAGCAGGTATTGTTCCATTACACAGATGGGAAACCAAGGCTCCAAGAGATCCAGTGACTTTGCCCAGGTTTTCCTGTGAGTGGCAGAGCTGGGATTTGAACTCAGACCTGCCTGACTCTAAGCTCTGGTCATTTACACCGTACTACATCCGCCCCCAGATGCTGCCTTCGTCCTGCAGGGGCTCCTGGATACGCTGTGCTGGGGATCCCCCACTGACACAGGTCCCACCTGGAGGGCCAGCTGCTGGGTTGGCACCACAGCAGGCGCCTCTGGCCAGATCCACTGGGACGTGAAGGGGCACATTGGCCTCTCCCACTGCTGCCTGGTGGGCTGAGCTGGGTGGGTCTGTTTTGACAGGTGAGGGCAGTTTCACCTCCTGGTGGCAGGTTCACAGGCTCCTATGGGATTGTGAGCCCTCCCTCCAGGTGTGCTTTGGTGATGATGTCAGGTATGTGGGTGAAGCATTTGACTGAAGTAAATAAAGCTGGAGGAAAATGACAGGGGCAAGACAGTATGGATAGGACTGTACTACCCTAGAGGCCAGTCTGGCTTGGGCCCAGAGGCCTGTGGTCGTAGCTGCCTGTTCTTCCTTCCCGACTTGGGGCCGGGTGACCTGAGCCTTTGCATGTCCTGCCTTCAGGCCCAGCGCAGTAGAAATTTGGGGTGTGGGCCCACAGCCAGCACAAGAGGTTGTGCCACCTTGCAGTTGCAGAGCCTAGAGCTCAAAAAGGCTTTGAACATCGTCCGCTGTCTACCTTAGAGTTGGGGCTGAGGCCAAGACAGGAAGTTGCCTGTCTGAAGCTCACACAGCCTCACACAGCCTCAGGTGACAGAGCTGAAAAAGGAGCTTCTCAACACCCCGGGCCTGCGGTCTTTCCTACCACCCCACCCTATTTGAGGAGGGGGGAAGCAAAGAAGCTTAGACAAAACTATCGGGGGCACAGCTCCCCCCAACTCTGGAGGGGGCCACTACCCTTGGGGCCCCTCCCTGAGACCCTTTCCCTCATCACTCAGCCCTACAGCAGCTCTGTGGGGAGGGGTGCCTCGGGCGTTTCTAGACCATTGGCCCCCAGTTCTTTCAATCCACGTCAGCAAATTTTAATGGAACTTGTAGGATGGAAGATACCACTGGGGATGCCAGAACCCTTGGCACTGATTTGAATTTTCTCAGGGAGGCCACCATCCAGGAAAGCAGCATCACAATATGAGAGAGAGCGCTTACATCCAGATCCACTCTCTGGTCAGCACTGAAGGCATGAACATTTCATTGAAAAGGAAGGGAGTAAAAGGAGGCAGGGATTCAGAGACAGGCTCTGAAAATGTGAAGAAGTGTAGGCGAGGTGTTCCAGGCAAGGGGAAGAGCCAGTGCAAAGTAGGGAATTGAGGCATTGTTCTGGGTGTTGGAGGAGCACTCTGAGGGGACAGGGGCAGGTGCAGGCAAGTGATGGGCAGTGAGGCTGGGAGGGCAGCGCAGGGCAGCCGGTACAGAGTCTCAGATGCCTCAACTATCAGACAGGACACCTGGGCTTTCTCTGATGGTCAATGGGACCAGTGAAGATGTTTGACCAAACTGGGTGATGTAGTGAAGAGAGCGGGCCCAGGCTGCCTGGAGAGTCCATCCTGACTGTACTGTTATGAGCTGTTGGACCCTGGACAAATGCTTTAGCTCTCTGAGCCTCTGTTTTCTCATCTGTGAAGTGGGGGTGGAGAACAGTACCTACCATCAGGGTGGCCACAAGGATGATGGAGCACAGTAGGGCACTGCTTGCCCTGGTAGAAGTTGGGTGAACGTCATTCCCTGTGTTGCCTCCTGGGTATTATCAGGCTATTAGTGAAGGTTGGGATAGCAAGAAGAAAGTCTTTTTGAAAGCAGGAGGAACCTTAGATATGGGGTCCAAATCCCTGGCCAGCCTTGAGACACCTTGGTGGCCAGGGAGGGAAGCAGGAAGCACTGACTGCAGTGAGCCCATGGTCTCTGTGTTCCTCCAGTCAGGGCAGGGCAGAGCCCAAAGGTAGGTGCAGATGGCCCAAATGGCCCCATGCATGAGCGCTGAGGTGGGGACAAGAACCCAGTGAATTCTCCAGTGGTCTGGTTGTAGATGAAGCGCTTCCCCTCAGCCAGGCTCTGGTTGAAGGGCTTGTCTTTCTTCTCTAATGATGTGTGCACCAATGGGGAGCAGAGGCTGTCTCTAGGGGTGGGGGCAGAAAGGCATGTGGAGGTGCCTCCTGGCTCCAGTGGTGCAGCCCTGCAGCCCCAGCAATAGTGACAGAAGGTGGGCCGGCCAAAGACATCTCCTCACTGCCTTGCATACCCAGGCCCCACACTGACTGCCAGGCAAGGCTGTCGCTGAGGCTTTGGGAGCCACACATCTGTGCCTGCTGCAGCCGATCCTGACGCCACTGGACTTGCACCACTATCACTACCCCTGCCATTTCCACTGCCTCCCTTTTTGTCCTTTTTCTTTGCCTTCATTACTCTTTATGACTAGTATTCCATTGTATGGTTATACCACATTTTGTTTATCCGCTCATCGGGTGATGGACATTTGTGTTGTGTCCACTTTGGGACTGGCGAATATGCTGCTGTGACATTTGGGTACAAGTTTTTGGGCGGATGTACGTTTCCAGGATGTCCTACTTTCCGTGGAGTCCGGGAGAGTGGTGGTGGGGATCGGGAAGGAAGAGGGTGAAGCAGAGGGACCTGCTTGCCCACTGGGTACTCGGGGCAGTGGGTGGGAGTGAGAAGAGGAGGCTGAGGATCCTGTTGGAGCCTCACTGGGCGCCCAGGCCGTGTGAGGCCAGGGGAGGGCTGCTCCCCGACCACCACACACCCACACGGTTGTGTCAGATTCGGCAGTTTGCTAGAAATAGCTTGGACCGCTGGTATTTTCCCTGGAAATCAGATGCATTTCTTCCTGTGCCCTACTGAGGGCCAAAATTAGTTAAACACAAAGAGAAGCACGAGCTGCTCGGATAGTCTAAAGAAGAAGAACGTTGTCAACAGGAAGCTGGCTGGCCAGGGGCAGGAGGTGGTCAGGAAGAAGATCAACAAGCCAAGTGTAAACCAAGGCTTGGCTCTGACGCCCCTGCCCACATCACATTTGCACAGAGGCAGTGGTTTTGTTTATCGGAAAGGCAGGAATCTCTGGCACCTTTTGGCAGATGAGGAAACAGAGGCACCGCATTGAGGGAATGTGCCATTCAGAGACAGAAGGGGGATTAAAGCCGGTTTCCAGTTCTTCTGCGAGCAGCAGGAGCAGCTGGTTTGGTAGAACCCAGGCCTGGCCCTGGGTGCTGGGCCTGGTTTTGAGTTCACAGCAGAAGCCTGAGAACAGGCAAACAAGAGCGAGTTCGTGTCGTTTCAGTCTCTGAAAAAGGAATGGCAAACCCCACCCCAGCCCCAGAGCAAAAACACAATACGGGGCTTTAATTACCATCTTTTCTTCCTTTTTGTGTTTGTTCTCCAGCCAGAAAACATTATGTTGTTAGACAAGGATATTCCCATTCCACACATCAAGCTGATTGACTTTGGCCTGGCTCATGAAATAGAAGATGGAGTTGAATTTAAGAACATTTTTGGCACACCAGAATTTGTTGGTGAGTGTTAGGCCCATTTCTCCCCCAGCTAAGAATATGGGATCAAAGGGTAAAGAAATTCCAGTAACAAGCGCTGTGTCTGGGGCTATGGAGATGATACCTTGGAGAGACCCCTGGAAACGTAAGGCGTGGGGAGGGCAGTGTCTTGCCGGGCACTTGGGTGGGGTCCGGGGCGGCTCTGAGTGCCTGCGGGGCCTTCGGAAGTCCAGGCAGGGCTGGCAGCCTTTGCAGAGTTAAACCTTCCCAGAGCTGGTCCCACCTCCTGCTCTCGGTTGAGTTTGTTATGAACATTTAAAATTACATCACCCTCCTACATTCCTGTAAATTCAACTTTTTTTGGAGAGTTTTTGGTTTCCTGGAAAGAAAAAAGGAAATTATCTGCCAGATGCCAGATCCTCCCACTCACCTCTCTTGTATGCCAGTCCTTTCTGTACCCACGGGAGGCCCACCTGCAGCAGGGCACTGGTGGCTGTCTCTTCCTCTCTTTCTCTCACACTTGGCCTAGGCCCCAGAAACCCCTTCACGGTGTTTGGGCTGCAGCCTGGGGTTTCATAAAGAAACAGCCTTGCAAAGGGGAAAGGAACGAGAATTGAGAACCACTGTCTGTCTGCTGTGGGGGTTGGGGTGGTCCTGAAAATGGCAGGAGGGCATGGTCTTCTCAAAACCCAGGGGCTGAAACTTCTGACCACAGTCTAAACAAAAAGGAAGACAGAATGTGTCAGGTCATTCACTCTGACGGTTTTGGGGCCACCCGTACCAGCTCTGCTGCCACTCTGGAATGATGCTGCAGAACACCCACTGGCAGGGGACCCTTGCTGTGTGCCAAGTACTATCTATGCCTTGTGCTGTACGGTATCCCAGTTAACCTTCAAACTACCTACGGAAACACATTTAATTATTTCCTCTATCAAGGGCTTTGTTCAGGGCAAAACGACCACTAGGTGGCGGAGCCGAGATTCAAACACAGATACGGCCCACACCGAAGGCTGAGCTCTTTCCCTTACACTGGATTGTCTCTTGGAGGAGACCCTGCCCCAGGGAGCTTACAGTTTGTGGAAACAACACATCAAGCCACCGAACAAGAGCGTGGGGTGGCCCTTTGCAGTTCGTCTGGTCTAGTTTAACAAATGTGGAACTGGAGGGCTGGAGGGTTTTAGTTAAGGTCACCCAATGGTTATTGTTCACCTTCAGTATGAAAGATATTAGGTGAGGCACGAGAGACACAGTGATGGTAAGGGCCACATTCAGAATGACATACAAAGCCACACAAGTTGAACACCTTGAGCCTGGGGCATAAGACATCTATTGTTGAACTTTTCTGAGATAGTAGTTGCTGCCCACAATTTATGTATGCAGTAAAAATGAGTACATTTATTCATATAAGTCTTACCAACTGTTAAATAACAATAAATGGTGCAATTAGAAATTCAGGGCAACAATGGGCCACAAGACAGGATGTGATTAATTGTAAAGAGAGTAATATAGAGATTAATATATTTTGTTCAAACAAGATATCCATTCTAGCAAAGCCAATGGGATAAGTTATCACCTTGAATGGGTGAGGCACAGGGCTGTTGCGGGTGGGAGAAGTGTCTGAGGAGGGGCGGGGAGGGAGCTGGGGTGGAGGAGGAGCGCCTCCCAGGGTCGGTCATCCACAGCAGGGGGAGAGGGCCGGAAGCAGTGCATTTACCAGGAGGATGCACTGTCCACTTGGGGTGGAGCCTAGAGCTCACGCAGACTGGTCGTATGAGTGGGATCTTAGTGAGTAGGGCCAGACTGTGGGATGTTTTGCCCAGTGGTATGGTGGTAAATGTCTAACAGTTGAGTCTCAAAACAAAACCTTAGTTTATAGTACTTCCCAATTTCACGCTACCAGTCTGTTCTCACTGAGTTCAGAGTTGGGAAGAGATGCACACAGCTGACTCTTGTGAGCCAGTATGAGCCAGCTCCAGCCCCAACCTGGTTCTCTTTGTCCCTTACGGAACATATAGAGTGGCTTCTCTAAGCACCTGCCAAAACTACGATGACCTTCTTTGCCCAAGACTCTTGAGAAACACGTCATAACCATTTTCCTTATTCCCACCATTTCTTCGAAATTTCAACCTGACACCCAGCGTTAAAAATGTACTGTCAGCTTCCAGGAGGGTGGTACACCTGGTCTTCCAAAAGCCCACCCACTAAAAAACTGGGTTCTTAAAAAATACTCTTTTTGAAGCTATTCTGGACTCACAGGAAATGAGTAAGGGTAGTAATTCCTTCAGCATCATCAGTCCCATCCCCAAAAGCCGATGAAATAAACTTAGAACTGGAGCTGTGAGCAGCAGGAAAATTCAGTAGAAGACCTCTCCTAAAGGCACGTCCACACGTTGGCGTTTCGGGCAGAGACTACCTAGATTTAGATGACCGAACACATAAGATACTGAAATGGTCAGATGTTGACTATAAAATAAATGAAATGTATATGGAAATAAAAGATAGAATCTCAAGAATGAGCAAGCAACAAGAGAATGTCACAAGGGAACCACATAGAACTTTAAGAAATTCAGTATATATTCATAGAAATTTAAAACTCAGTAAGTGAGCTAAATAGCAGATTACATACTGCTGAGGGGAGTGCTGAAGAATTGGAACACTGAGCTGGAAAAAATTAGCTAGAGTGACAGACATAGAAATATGAGAGGGTAAGCGAATGAGGATAAAAAAAGACAGCCCAACACAGATCTATTTGGAGCCTCAGAGGAAAGAATGGAAATGCTAGAGGCAACATTTGAAAAGACTGGCTAAAAATTTTCAGAACTGATGTAAAAACATTGGATACTAAAAGGATAATATGTATCAGGCAGAAAAAAAAAAGCTCCTACTTATCCACATTATAGTTAAACTCTAGGGTACCAAAGACAAAGAGAAGATTTTAAAAGCAGCCAGAGAGAAAAGATAGGTCACCTACAAAACAAATAAACAAACGAACAGTAGTTAGATCAACAGCACACTTCTCAAAACAAAAATGAAAGCCAATATTCAATAGAATATTATCTTCAAAGAACTGAGGAAAAAGAAAACCATAATTGTATATCCAGGAAAATTACATTTCAAGAATGAGGGTAAAAGCAAAAAAATAAAAACAAAAACAAAAGGAAAAGAACAACAAAAATAAAACAAATAATCAAATATCAACAGAACTTTTTGAATGAAATGTCTAGAAGGTATAGTTATAAGTTAAGGAAAATGACCTCTTAGAGACGTCTCCATGTAAGAAGTAATAGGAACAAAGAAATCCGTAAACATGAGGCACAGATAAACATTTTCTGTTTAAAATAATGGTGAAGTTTCAATTGTGAGAATAAAAAAGAACAGAAAACTGAACTAAAAACTGAAGAAAATGATCTTAGAAAGGACAGAATGCTTGAAATCAGGGCCCTGTATTGTTAGAGGAGGTTTGAAGTGTTGACTTGTGTTGGAATTTGTTATGTAGACATAGAAAGTCTGAAGCACAGCCATTACAAAAATATAAGTTGGGGGAAAATGATAAGAACACTAAAAAAGAAAAAAGAAAAAGGAAGAAGAAAAACAGAAAAAATGGACAAACAGAAAAGCACGTAGAAGGCAGATAAGCACCGGAAAGTGAGTTGTGTTCTCAAACTCTCTATGGTAAAAAAACTTAAACAAAAACTCTTCAACTGTACTGGACTGCTTCAGGAAGATACAAGAAAAATAAATTTCTAGAAAAATTATCACAGTTTGAATGTCATATTTCTCTATTTGTCTCTAAGTGCTTACTCCCAAATTCTGTACCTGTCTCGTCTGGACCAGTGACAGTTAGCAGACTCTTTGTCTGTGGACCGCACTTTGAATATTTCTCTCCTAGATAAAGCCTTGCAGGTGTGTGTCAGGAGACGGGTACAAAAAGTTCATAAAAACAGTGTTCCAGTAATAAAAGAAGTGGCAGTGGTCCTGAAGGTCCCTGAGAGGAGACGTAGAAGATGGTATGTGTATGTTCACACAGTGGACTATTAGACAGCAGTGAAAATGAAAGATACGGATGAACATTCAATTAGCACTGGAAGCAGAATGTTGAATGAGGGAAAAAACATCAAGTGACAGTAGGTCCCATGCCGTGTGACATCATTTTTACAAAGCTAAAAAATCAGCAAAGTCAGGAGAATGGTTCCCTGTGTCATGGAACCAGAGGGAGGGGGAGGGGGGATGATGGGCACACACTGTGGATGCACTGGCTTTGATGTTGTGTTGGACCGACAAACTTAGCCTGGCCCACTCCCACCCTTATTCCATTAGTGGTGACGCAGGCTCAGTTCTCCTCCCTTCTCTAGACTCTGCCCTCTCTTCCTCCTCCATTTCACAGCCAAGCTTTTGAAAAGAGTTGTCTGCACACGTATCTCCACTTCCCACACGCAGGGCATTCTCTGCTCACTGCGGTGAGTGTGAAATTCAACACTCTCTTCCCAGGGCCTGTCTGCTTGATCCCTAGGCTGCGTTTGGTCTCCTTCTCTCCTCAGTGGGGTCTTCCTTCCTAGACCCCGCACGCTTTCCTGGTCACATCGTTTGCACGGCGCCTGTCTCCACCTAGACGGTGACTCCAAACTGGACGACTCTGGCCCCTCCCCAGTCCCAGCTTCTTCCTGGGCACCTTCCCCCGATGCCCCTCAGGCACCTCAAGCTCATCATTTGCACCCCAGAATGTCCTCCTACCCATCAGGTGGGAGGTGCCCTCTTTCAGACCAGACTCAGAGGAACACACAGTCCCTCTCTGCCACCTTCGCCATCACCTTCCAGTGCCGGCTGGACCATTTCCTACCAGAGCATTCTAAATAGGCCTTGTCACTAGGCCCCATTCTCCCCTCTTACATCTTCCTCTCCCCACCCTCCTCTTCCTCTTCCTTTCCCAGACATTCCTATGTGCTTTCCCTCATCCTCACTATCAAGGCCTCTTTGTAAAAGGTTTCTATCAATGTAACAGACAAGTAACTTCCTCAAAATTTTTAGAGTGAGATTTTCTCCTTCCCTTGCTCTGATTTTTATTTTTTCAGTGGAGATCCAGGATGGAGACATTTGGCCTCAAGCTCCCTAAAATTCCCCACAGCCGGCTCTTCCATTTTCATTCCTGCTAACTCTTCGATATGGCTTTTTTCAGCTCCAGAAATCGTGAACTATGAGCCCCTGGGCCTGGAGGCTGACATGTGGTGAGTGGTGTAGGCCGCCCAGGGGGTGTGGGGACCCTTCCAAGGGCAGAGGACCTCAGACCTTGGCTCTGACTGACCCTTCTTGAAAATGAATACCCCTGCCCTGGCTGCTGTGGCTCAGTGGGTTGAGCACCAGCCTGTGAACCACAGGGTTGCCAGTTCGATTCCTAGTCAGGGCACATGCCTGGATAGTGAACCAGCTCCCCAGTAGTGGGTGTGTGAGAAACACACTGATGTTTCTCTCCTTTTCTCTCTCCCTCCCTTCCTTTCTGTCTAAAAATAAAATAAGTAAAATCTTAAAAAAAAAGAAAGAAAGAAAATGAATACTCCTTTCTCCATACTCCCCTTTCGGAGACTCGGGCTGCTCTGGGTGTGCTGGGTCTGAGGCCCGGGCACCTGGAGACAGCTAGGCTTGGCCCTGAGGGCAGTTCGAACACAGGAGAGGCAGAGAGAGAGGGGAGAGCTGAGGAAGGAGGCACAGGATCACTTCGGAAGCCCGCACAGCCATGACCAAGATAATATAACAATAGCTCTTTCAGTCAGTCAATCAAATGATCACTGAGAGCCTCAAGTTCAAGGCCCCGTGGTGGGCCTGGGATACTGCAGCGACTGATTCTCTGTGCAGGCAGAAGTTGTTTTCTTTGAACAGTGCTTTGTAGTTGGCTGAGCACTGTGATGAACTGGCTTTCTAAAATCCTCCCAGCAGTCCTGTGAGGTGGTGTTATTGTCCTCACTGTATGAGGAGAAAGAGGCTCAGAGGTGACAGGGGACATGCCCCGATCACAGCCTGCCAGGGCAGGAGTCTGATCTTGACTTACATCCTCAGGCTCAATGTCCAGAGTTTGACGACTCTAAATGCCTCTGTGGGTGCTGCTGAAGAACGGGACAGAGAGGGCTGTGGGGCCCTTCAGAGGCTGCCATGGAGGGTCCCGTGGCCACTCCCCCCGAGAACCATGCAGGGATTCCCTTCTGGTCTGGGATCAGGGCCAGGAGGCCCTGACTTGCCTGTTCTTTGTTTTGCAGGAGCATAGGCGTCATCACCTACATCCTGTGAGTATCCCTGATTCTGCATCTCCCACCCGGCTTAGACCTGGGGGACTGGGAGGAGTGAGGGATCAGCCCTTCTCACTCCTCCCAGACAGACAGGTTGGTATTTCCTGAGCACCCACCAAAAACCAGATGTGTTCAAGACACACAGCAAACCTAAGGCTAAGCCCTCTTAGCTCCATTTCACACGTTGACCCTGGGGCTGAGTTTGGGCCAGAACCCAGAAGAGCAGCCTGTGCCTGCATCCCCATTGTGGCCAGGGATCCGCTGCTCGGCTTCCCCCAGACCAAAGTGCTACAGGGATGTTACCTTACACTCAGAAGCCCTGGGACAGCTCTCAAGCTGCTGTGCCTTCCCTGACCCTGCCTTGCTCTCTCCCTTTCTGCCCTCCTTTCTCAGAGCTCTCATTCTGCCCCCTCCTCTCTCCCCAGAGTCTCTCTTTCCTGTCCCTGAAGGATTAAGTTGCTTAAGCAGAGATTTCCTGCACAGCTCTGTGTAGTGGATCTGACACTTTCCATCTTTGTGGCCTTGGGCAGATTCCTAACCTCTTTGCAGATCTGTTTCTTCCATCAGAAAAGTAGGAATCACAAACTTCCCATCAGGGGTATGTTGTGAAGGTTAAATATGAGGGGGAACCCCCCCAAACTGGAATTTATTGATAAAAAATGTATATTTAGTCTTACATGTTTAAACTTCAGTCACCTTCAAAGTACTCTCCATTTGATGCAGTACACCTATGGAGACCTTTTTCCACTGCTCAGAATAGTTTTTGAACTTGTCGATTTTGATCCTTTTTAGTGCTTCTGCCATTTTTGTCTCACCTCTTCCACATTGGCAAAATGTTTTCCTTTGAGGACTTTTTTCATCCAAAGAAATTTTAAAAAGTTGCTTGGGTAAGATCGGGTCTATAGGGAGGATGGGGCACAGAGGTCATGCCAGTTTTGGTCAAAGACTGCTGAACACTCAGCGCCCAATGGGCAGGTGCGCTCGTAAATCAACCACTATGAAATGGGCAAATGCATTGAAAGAGTCTTCAAAAAAAAATTCACTGAAGCCAAATGCAGCCTCTCACAATGCCAGCTGGTGCACTGATACAGATGGGTTCCTAAAACACGCACCTAGCAGGGGAAGCCTGTACTATAAGGGGCCCACCCTCAAGAAGTTAATTCCAGTTTTTGGGGGGTCCCCCCTTGTAAGCTGACATGAGCATATTTCTTAGCACTGCTCCAGCCCACAGTACATGACTAACTAGTAGGTGTTCATTCCATCAGTGCTGCCCAACAGGTTTCCCCTCACAGCACACTGGGAAAATGCTATTTCTGTGGCACATTCGGTAAGAGTCAGCCCACAGCCAGACTCAGCAGCTGAGGAGATATTCTCTCATTGCCCTGCAAACCAGTTTTTGATTCTTCCAGAAGTACTTGGACTGGAGCTCTGTCCGATGTGGGGGACCCCCTTGAGCTGCAGCAGAGGGTCTAAACCCTGGTTGCACATTAGACCTTTGAATACCAACCATGGTCCAGGCTCCATCTGAGATCTATTAAACTAGAATCACTAGGGGTGGGATCTTGGCACCAATATGTTTTAAAAGTCCCAGGGAAATTTGATGCAAAGACAGAGGATCTGATGCATTGCTCTGTAGTTTCACATCAAAGCCAGGGCATTCAGACGCCAGTCCTTGAAACTTTGATTTCTGCAGAATTCTGGTTCCCATGGAGATGTTAAAGAATTCCAGTGTGTACAGGGTGCATAGTCGTCTCACAGCTAATTTGAATTCCATACAGTTTTTTGAGTGCCTGCTCCATGGTGGGCATTGTGCCAAGCACTTGGCACAGCTACGTGATGGAGAATCTGCCCTGCTTGTCTGGAGCTCCGTGTGTTGGGGTGGGGTGAGGAACGGCACCAGATAGCTGTCCCTCTCTCGGTGGGACCAAGGTCCTGGTGGAGGTAGAACCATGCCTCTGTGAGACACAGATGGGAGAGGCGATGGCTGCTGGGCTTCAGAAGGTTTAATAGGGCAGCAAGAAAGAGATTGATTGACTGATTGACTGATTGATTGATTTGAACTGGACTATACAGAATGAGGTTAATTTTCCAGGTATAAAGGGACAGAAGGGCTGTCCTTCTAAGGAAGGGAACAGTTAGCGTGCTGAGTGTGGAGAAATGTCCTGAGAATGTGGTAGGCGCCAATTCTGATGCTGTGCTCAGGAGCTGAGATGCGATCCTATAGAGAATTGGGGAGTCATGGAAGGGTCTTTGTGTTCCAGCAATGACAGCAATAATGGCCATCAGTCAATTCTGGAGCTTTAGCATGGACCAGTATTGCACAGAACATTTTATATATGTTTACTCTTCACAACAATCACATGAGGCAGAGGCTTTCATTTGCTTCATTTTACAGACGAGGAAACTGCAGCTCAGGGAGGTTGAGTAACTTACCTAGGCTCACCCAGGTAACAGTGACAGAGCTGGGCTTCAGACCCAAGGACTGAAATGTCAATGATTTTCCAATGCACTGTGCTAGGAAATGGCGGTGTGGGTGGGGATAGATGAGGTGAGGAAATGGAAGGAAAAGTCAGAGCTGCCCCCTGTGTTTCCAGCTTGGACACATTCGTGGTTACATCATTAATCAAGGCAGGGCACTCAAGTTTGGGCACAGTGACTTCTGGGAAAATGGCACATCTAGGCAGAGGCTTCCCATGGGCAACTGACAGTAGATTCGGGAGTCACTATCTGAGTGACACCTCCTTGACAAACGCTGTGGGGGAACCTCACACCCGCTTCGGGTCCCTTATGGCTCATCTACTTCCACACCTGTCAGGCTTCGCTCAAATTGCCCCCTTAGCCTAGAAGACCTCTCACCCCCTCCTCTGACAGCTGACATCCTCCTCATTCTTCCAGACACACTGATGCAAATGCCAAGTCTCCCGTGAAGCCTGCCCTGGGCCTCCCCTCCACCCTGTGTTCCCACAGTCCCTTGTCTGGCCTTCTGTTGTATTCTGCTCCGTTCTGCTCTGCTTCTCTCCCCTCCTCTGTCGAGTCTCTTGAAGACAGTTTCTTTTTGTCAGGTGTCAGTAGGAGCTCCATAAAGGTTATTGGATTGGTCTCGGTCAGGGTCCCGAGTCCCTCTTCCCCACCTCCATCTGCTTCCCTGTAATCACCTATTTTCTCTCTGTGTGCTCAGCCTAAGTGGAGCATCCCCCTTTCTGGGAGACACGAAGCAGGAAACGCTGGCAAATATCACGGCAGTGAGTTATGACTTTGACGAGGAATTCTTCAGCCAGACCAGCGAGCTGGCCAAGGACTTCATTCAGAAGCTTCTGGTGAAAGAGACCCGGTAAGAGGACAGAGGAAGGCATGGGCTTCTCACGTACTGACCTGCTCCTGTGGCCTTTCCCCAAGATATGCTAGTCTGTCCCCACTTTGTCATGGACTGTCATCTGCACCATTGTGGTCTAATCTGGGCAGGTGCTGAGAAGTGTGGACTGGCATTCATCTCGTTTGCTTAAGTCTTTCTGCTTTTCTTCCCTGCTGAAATGAAAACACGTATGTGCACATGATGTGTATGTGTCTGTGTGTGTGTGTAGAAGTCAGTCTGGGTTTCTCCAGGGCACGTTACCTTGTGCAGTCGGTCCCAAAGGCACCTGGAACTAGATTTGAAAAGGAAGGCAGCAATTTTCGAGCCAGCTCAGGTGGGAATTGGGGGAGGTGAGCTCAGAGAGGCTAACATGTGAGAGAACAGGACATGATGATCCTACCCCTTCTCTGGGACCCGGGGTGAGCTCTGAGGCTGTGGGATCACAGGAGATGGGCAGGGAATTTTGGGTGTTGGGTGCCCAGAGCTTGGCCTAGCTGGGGCAGGAATAAGGTCCACAGACTCTAGAAGGTCATGTCTTCTTGGTCCTACAGACTTCAGAGAGAGCCAGAGTGGGGTCCTCTCCAGTATAGGAGCTGGCCTTCTCCATCTAGGGGCAGCCCTAGGCAGGATCGAAGGGCAGAGAAGAGATCTGGGAGGCAGACAGAAAAACAGAGACCAGAGATTTCACAGCAGAAAGCTGGAAGCTCAGAAGAGCCCTTACAGCTCCCCTATGGTGTGATGTTGGGCCCTTGGACTTTGGAACCAAAGATGAGAGTTATGTGATGTCACTCTGTAGAGAGGTCTGCCTGGACCGTTTTCTCTGGGGTGCAGAGAATTCAGCCAGTTCCCTGTCCATCTCTGCATCTCCTGTGATTACGGTTTGAGGGCGGTGATCGAAGAATGCCAAATGAAGGGCGTAGAACAGTAAGAATGAAGCCCTTTGCTCTCAGCTTCTGTCCCCTTGATTCATTGCAGTTTCTGATCCTCATTGCAGGAAACGGCTCACAATCCAAGAGGCTCTCAGACACCCCTGGATCACGGTAAGGGCACAGTGATGAGTTCCAGCGAGCAGGAAGTCTCTGCTGTGTCACCAGGGCTGGCTGGGGTGGCCAGATGCAGAGGGCCCCCGGAAAGGCCTTTGCTTGAAATGCTAACCCGTGGGCATAGATGAAAGCTGTTTGGGAGCTCCAAAGGTTCTGGGGCTCTTTCAAATAGGTTTATAGGTTTAAGTTCATATTTTATGGGTTCAGGTGACTTATGAAATGCAACTCTCACAAACCTCAGTTGTGACCCTTTTCCTTTGGGGCCATCGTACAAAGTGTTCTTTGTCAGATGCTATGCCACTGTCATTCTCAAAGCAGAAATTGGGACTCCCCAGTTGCAGAGAGAGAACCAATGACAATGAAAAATCTCAACTTTGTCACCAGGGCTCCTTCTGACTTTTGGAGCTCTGAGTGAAGGTTGACACCTGGCTTCCTCGGGTACCAAGAGCTCTCAGGGAATGGGGCTGAGATGGGGGCCTGGTGGGCAGAGAGGCAGCCGCTCCCTCAGGGCAAGTCCATTCCTTCTGGGGAGGGCAGGGACACAAAGGTGACGCGCTGCCTAACGTGCTTCATAATTGCGCTTCCAGTGGCTGGTGTGCTGGAAGGTCTTGTGGTCTAGTCATAGTAAAGGGCCATGAAAATCCCTTCAGGAGGGTGGGAATCTGGAGACGGGAGCTTTGGCCCAACTAGTTCTGTTAACTGAGCAGATGTACATCCAGGGACCTAGCCAGACTCCCCACTCACTTCAACTGTTAAATGAGAGAGCTGGCGAGGGTGACCTGAGGGTGTGGATGAGAAGGGATAGAGGCATTCGGAAGGTGGAGAGTGGGGAGGGCTTGCCTATTCCAGAAAAGACTAGGTTCCTCTGCTTGTTGAAGGGTGGAGAAGGCCAAGGGCAGGGCTCAGGGCTAAGAGGTAGTGAGTGTCTTACGCTGCCTCCCTGCTCAGCCTGCCATGTGCTGCCAAGCACATGGAGCTGACTGCCTCTGTCAGCCATGGCCTTGTATGTTCCTGCCTTCGAGTGGATGCCTGCAGAGTCCTGCTGCAGCCTGCTTATCTGTGCAAGTGCCCCTAAATGCTATGCGTGTGAAGACCCTCTAATGGCCATGGACCACCCTGCCCTGGAGTGAGCATGCAGGTAGCACCCTTGAACTTCTTGACCTTGCTTGTGGCCTGTAGGGGTGCTCATCCCACCCGGGTCCTCCACATGGCCTGACGCATGCAGTGAATGCCAAAGAGGCTGCTCGTGTGCCTTCTGCCTCCACCTCAAACTGCCCTTTGGAGCAAGTGTCAAATTAACCCTGGCTCTTCTGTCTAAACACCCATCAGTCCAAAGGAGAAGACAGAGCCCCAGAACAGCGGAAGACAGAGCCCACTGAGCTGAAGACCAAGCACCTGAGAGAGTACACCCTCAAATGCCACTCAAGCATGCCTCCCAACAACACCTACGTCAACTTTGAGCGTTTTGCTCACGTGGTAGAGGATGTGGCTTGGGTAGACCAGGGATGCCATGCCCTGGCAGGAGCCCATGGCACCATCCAGGATGATGTGGAGACCCTGGTCTCCATCTTCAGTGAGAAGGAAGCTTGGTACCGAGAGGAGAGCGAGAGTGCCCGGCACGACCTGTCCCAGCTCAGGTACGAGTTCCGCAAAATGGAGTCCTTGAAGAAGCTCCTGCGAGAAGACATCCAGACCACAGCATCCGGCCTCGGGAGCGTGGCCAGGAAGTTGGACCACCTGCAGGTGCAGTTTGAAGCTCTGAGACAGGAGCTCTCAGCAGACCTACAATGGATCCAGGAACTAGTGGGCAGCTGCCAGCTGGAGAGCGGCAGCACAGACGGCCTGGGTTCTGTGTTCTGCTGGGACGCCAGTGAGTCCCTAGCGGAGCTGCGCGGCAGGTCAGGCAGTGAAGAAGTCTTGGCCGGCTTGAAGCTCTGAGCACAGGAATCTCATCAGCAATGCCCCCTGGATGGCTTGCAGAAGTGTGTTTCCAATCCCCCTGCTGGGCATCAGCTAGAATTATCCTGCAGGGATATGTGTCTGTAGCATGCATTGCCTTCCACCCCCTTCACAGAATCCAGAATCACAGACGTGCTAGCAAGTTATTCATTCTGCACCGCCTCTCACCCACCTGCTTTTCTGGGAGGAGGGCTGTCAGGGCAGCCAAGATGATAAAACAATTGAGAATAAATACCCTTCAATGTATCTTTCTCCAGAAGGAGGACAGCTGGCCCTGGGGAGGTGCTTGATGACTGATTTGTGATCATGGATTTGTGCACACTTCACTTCCCACCTATATGCCTTAGAGACTGCAGATCTTGGCTAATATTGAGTTAACCACGGGTAACAGTTCATCAGCTTCGTGCTTTCCTGCTTCAGAAGGAGGAAGTTAAAATGCACAGAGAAAACACTATTTTTCATTTGCACCGACATCACTTACCAGGCACTTATATCTTTGATCCTTAAAAGAACTTTGTGAGACAGGAAGGTGGGTGGCATTATTGTTGCTGTTACTATTATTTTCATGTAACTGATGAGGAAATTGACTCAGAGGGGGAAAATGATCTACTCAGGGTCATTCATAGCTAGTTGATTTACACAAAACAAGCTCAGGATACCTGACTCTAAGATGAGGGATATGGGAAGAAAGTGTAGGCTTTGCTGTAAATATTCACCTTAATATTGAAGTTCAAATCCCAGAGGTAAAATAAGCACCTTAACGTGTTCTAGAGTAAAGGTGGAATGCCTCATCCCTTCTGCTGATTGTGTTAAGAAGTGCGGTCCAGAGGGTGTGGCCTGGGGGCTTGGCCTGGGACCTCTGGCCTCTGGTTCCTTATCCGGCCTGTGTCTGAACATCTGCCCGCAGAGCAGGAGGAAAGGGGCAGCATCTCAGCCTTCTCCAACTTTCCCTGCTCCGGCCTCAACCTTGTGCTGGGAGTGAATACTAAAGGGGATCTGATAAGATAAGGGGTCTTACGTGCTTAGGTCACTGGGCCCTGAAAGGTCTGAGGAACTCCGTGAGAGTGTTGGAAGAGGGTGGACATTGAGACTGGGAAGCACAAGGTTCAGCGGTCCCTTCTTGACTCCAAGCTCTGAGCACACCGCCCGAGGACCGCAGGGTCTTATCACCCTTTTCCTGGAGGAGGGCCCAGTCAGTGGGCGCGCAGAGAAAGAGCCTGGAGCTCGGGCCCAGCCCTGTGCTAGAGGCTCGGGGGTGGGGAAGCAGATGTATCATTTCAAAGTGTCTTCACAGACTCACAAAACACCCTTGTTGGAGAGGTAGGGTAAATTTATTCCCAATTGGAAGGTGAGGAAACAGAGAGGATGCGATTTGCCCGGTGTCACAATAGTGGTAAAAGTGGAGGTCTCCTCAGGAGTCTGTTGCTCTTTCTGCTTCTCCTGACTGCCCCAGGCTCCCGGAGTTCACTGTCTTCTTCTGAGGCAGGTTTTACTCAGACTCACCCACCCATCCATTCACAAATAATTTCTGAGCACCTACCAACTGTCAGGCACTCAGCTTGGCACTGGGGATACAGAGTTAAGAGAAAACAGGCACGTTTTGTGCCTGAACAAAGTTTGCAGTCCAGTGAAGGATTCCAACATTAATAAGAGCATTCTAGAGATGGAGAACTGTGGCTGGGACATATGCTGTGAAAGAGATGCATGCGGCCCTGCAAGAACCTGCAGTGGGGTCCGCTCTAGTCAGGGAAGGCATCCGTGAGGTGGTGACGCTGGAGCTGAGAGCAGCGAGGCAAACTGGAGAGAAAGAATTGTTCGCTACGGAGCAGTCATGCCAGGGCTCTGGGGTGGGAGGGGAATGGGAGGCCGAAATGACGCAGATAGAAAGCAAGCTGGAGGGGAGAGAATAAGAGTATTGTGTACATGTGGCTGCGGAGGACGCAGGACCAGCAAGGACCATATTAAGAGCTCTGCCTTCGTCCCAAGAGTCAAGGGGAGCCATGATGGGTGCCTGGCTAGTCATGGCCCAATGTAAGATGGGGGGAGGGGGGTGGAAATGCCCAATGAGCATGGGAAGTGGTTTAGGATAAAGCCAAGTGATTCTGATCCCATGAAACCATTTCTTCAAAATCTTACCTCCTTTTCTATTTGCATGTTGGATTATTTCAAATGGGATATATAATATTTGTAACAGAAACTTTTTCATCAAATATAAGAAACCATATTTTCACTTAATACACATCATTATTTTATGCACCAAACATAAGAAACATAAAAAGCCCACGATGGAAATTCCAATAGGAAACCCTCCCAGGCAAAGCCGGATCCCCTCAAAGGCAGGGTAAGCCACAAAGCCACCGAGAGACAGGGAAAGCCAGGGAACACGTGCGTGCTCCCACCTGGACACCAGGTGGCGAGATGCAAATTCCTCCCCTGAGAATGGGGGCTCCAGGTCCGTGGTCCTCCTGCTTTCTGAGTTTGCACAATCAGTGTGACCCAAAAGAACCTCAACATTGTGCAGACTCAGACTGTGACCCAAAGGAACGGCAGTGTGAGGCTGGGTGGCCCCGAAGGGCTGGCAGCAGCAGCGTGAGCACCGCCTCCACCTCAGACCGACAATTATGAAATGATGCCATTGATTGGGAGAAAAGCTCAGAAAGGTGCACCTTGGAATCAGTGGAAGATGCAAGCTGTTCCTAAGCCCTGCCTGAGAGAATTGGGACGAATGTCCCAACTGCAGTCTCTCCAAGAACTAACCTGGCCTGTCACAGGACGTGATGTACTCATTTGGCCCAGGGCACTGTAAATAGTAAAGGTCCTCTGGCCATGTCAACAGACCTTGACCTCACACAGCCAAGCTTCCTAAGGAAAGGAAGTGCCCGATTGAGCAACTCAGGAGAAACTTCCCTGTGAACATCAAAATAAAACGCAGTACAGGAGTAAGATGTCGATGAGGACTTGAATTAGGGAGGCTGGGAAGAGGGAGGGGAAGTGGTTATGTTAGACTCGCGGCAGCAACCACACATGCTCCATGCTGGGAGGTCCTCAGAGGCCAGCCCCCGGCCGCCTGTGTTTTATAGCATTTTATAGGACAGGGCTTGTCTGAAGTCACCCAGCAAGTCGGACCCAGAGGAGGTTTCCCTCACCATGGGGGAAGTGTCCTCCGTACATTCCAGTCCGGTCATTGGTAAGGATTTGTCATTTAGACATTTCATAAACAGATCCTTTTCAGTACTAAGAACTTCCAGAGACAAGTCAAGGTGAACTGAGGAATGCCCCCAAGTCTTTCAAGGAAATCGGAGAAGACTGTGATCTCCCTCTGTCACCTGTCCAGTCCAACCCACATGGCCCTTCGGCAACAGAACCCACGCTGAGGGGAACCCAAGGGGGCCCGGCCAGGGGGCCTGCTGGACTTCTCCCCACACTCCCGCAGCTGGACCTTTAACAGCAGGGCCGAGGGCAGGGTCCTGAGTATTGGAGTGTCCCCGGCCCTGGTTCGTAGAGAGAGGGGGCCTGGGGGCACCGCTCTGTGGGCAGACCCACCTGCTGCTGGATTTTTCATTCATCAGGCTGTTCATGAAAGGGCGGCCACCGTGCTCTGTGCAATGCCACCCCGCACTGTTGGGGAGGGGAGGCTGAGTGAGTGTCATCTTCCTGAATAACGGGTCCCCGGGGAAGCTGGGGAGTCAGTTCCTGGGGAGGGTGGCTGCTTGTCCCTGCTCTGAAGCAGAGGCACGTGCCACATGGCTGCTCCGCTGGCACTGGGAAGGGCGGTTACCAGGGATTCCACAGATGCAAGTGGTGAGCAGCGAAGGGGGGGGTGGACTACTAATGATAGGAAAAGCCAGGGTCAGTCTGGGTCTCCCACGCACCCCTCCCCATACTCCTTCCCGCACCGCCCAGCCTCCCCGACGGGCCATTACGAACATGGTGGCTGCCCACCTCGCCCATCACTGGGTGCAGTTGGATCATGAGGGAGGCGGCGTCGTACCCCCACACCATCCCCGCTGCAAATGCCTGTGGGAGTGAAGGGCCTTTTCTCCTCTGTCTGTGAAACTCTTGGCCTGTGGAGAAGCCTGCCCTGCAGGAGAGCGCCAGCAGTGGGCACCCCGGGGGAGCCGAAGGGGCCAGTTCAGCTGTACAAACACTGACTGGGCTCTGGAGAAGGGCGACAGACAAGGATAAGACAGCTCCTGAATAAAAGGCTGTGTCTGGGCCCAGCGGGGACCTAGCCCACCGAGAGCTGGGGGAGGCCGTGGTGAGTGGTAAAACAGGTACCTGCTATTCCAGAAAACAGGAGAGAGAGGAATTCTGAGTGAGAGAAGTTCAGAGGGGAGGCCCGGGGCAGAAACATTCTCAACACCAGCTCCCCACACCGCCCCCCCAAACTGTAGCAGGCAGAGAAGCTGCCAGGTGGAGCTGGGAGGGATGGGGGTAAACCCAGACTAGGGCCAGGAACCTGGATTGCGACGTAGAGATCGAAGAGACGGACACCACAGAGACTAGAAGGGGAGAGTTTGGGTTTTAACTTTTTGTTATGGGACATTTTCAAACCTTGCACCAAAGTGTTGAGAATGGTGCGGAGAATTCCCTGTGACCGTTACCACCTTCAGGAGCGAGCAAGCTGTGGCCAGTCAGCTCTCACGCATCTTCACCACTGCTTTTTCTGGAGTATGTTAAAGCAAATTCAAACTTATTTAACCCCTAAATTCTTCAGCTAGAGTCTCTGTCGAGGGTTTTCCTTTCAACATTACCACTGTGCCACTATCACACCGGACAAAATCAGGAATAATTCTTTAATATCCCCTGGATACGCATTCCGTACTCACTTGTCCCGCCTTCCTCAAGGATGTTCTGTTACGGTTGGTTTGTTCAAATCCGGGTCCGAACAGAGTCCCCTCATGGCCTTTGGTGGTTGTGTCTCTCAAGTCTCCTGTCTTCTGTAACAGTACGGGAGGGGCAGCTTTTGAAGCTTTTCTTGGGGATGAGAAATGGCTCAGAAGCATGACTGCCCTGGAGGGCGGACTAAAAGTGAGAGTGTATCCATGCTGAGACCTAACTCGGAAGAGTGAGACCAGGTCAAGCAAGGAAAAGGGCATTCCTGCCTCCTTCTGTTGACTTGTTTGAGGGAGGGACAACCTGCAGGGACACGCCCTTTGCGCGGCTCCCCCTCCCACTTATAGGGAGGCAGAGGCTCGGGTATCTGGAAGCATCCCGAGCTCCTTTCAGGAAGTGAGGTGAAACCAGCAGGGTCCAGGCTTTAGCCAGCAAAACAGCCAATAAAAGGGAGAAATGGAGGAGCCACCTACAGGGAGACTCCATTAAAGGAGCCTGGGGAGGGGAGGGGAGGGGCTAGAGTGACAGACCCGGGTAGGAGAGATGTGGGCGCCCAGGTGTCCCTGGCTTTCCGTAGAGGATGGGGCTGGGAAAATGGCACAGATGGAGGTTTGAAAAGTTGCAATCTGTTTGCAGTTCCTAGAGGAGGCCTGGTATTTAGAGAAAATCTTTTAGAGTGCCTCTTCCGAAAACCCAGGTGGCTGCTGCTCCATCTCCCTGCTGGGTGAATGTGGCTGCTGACCTAGCACATCCCGCTGGGCCTTTTCAAAGGCATTTGCATCTGCAAAACAAAACCTGACTTCAGCCACAGGATTCTGTCTTCTTGCCTCCCTGACGTTTTTCTGAGACACCAAACATGCTCCCCTAGGCTCCTGAGCCTGGCCAGAACTGCCCAGACACTGGCATCCTGAAGGACCACAGGCCCGAGGAAGGTGGGCAGTGTCTGTTTGCAGAGAGGAGGGGGTGGGAGTCAGGAGAAGGCAGAGCACAGCTCCGTTCCCCCTCATACTCCCCATTGAATCAAAAGTGTTAGTGCCACATTTCTTCTGAGACAGATTTCACTGCAGAATTTGAATCTCTCTGATTTTCAAGGCTCAGATGAGAGTGTCAGCAGTTGGTAAGCCCTCTTAGCAACCAAGGAGGCCCATCAATTAGGAAAGGCCAGGCCGATAGATTTATGGCCTGGGTGGCCTTCTCCTCAAGGCCCATGCTGTTTTGTGTAGCATATAGGCAGGACCCAAGAAGTAATGGTATCACCTCCTGTGAACAACTTCTGGGAGTGGTCCCACCTGTTACGTATTTTAGTCGGGCCTCTCTGCTCAGTCCCTGGCACTCCTGTGACCGGCTGGCAGATGGGATTCTCATTAACGGGACTCCCCTAGCCTGTATGTTGACCTTCCAGCCGTGGGGTTTAGGCATCTCTCTCCTGGTAAGGGCTCCCATTGGTAAGTGGATAAAGAGCGGTGTCTTTCCTCCCAGAGTCTACTGATCCTGCCTCATCAAACTCTCTAAGTGCAGGGTCCACTGCAAGGGTTAGGCTCAAAGGTGAGTTGCAGACATTAGTGAAGTTAGAGGTAAAAATGTTCAGTGGGTTGGGGAGGTAGGACATTACCTTGGAAAGGAGACAATAGTTGCTGGGAGGTGCACAGGAGGGGAACTATCAAGTGTAAATAAATAAGTGCAGAATAAAGTGACCTGCTCTGAAGAAACGGATCACAGGCACAGTGAGTCGTATGAAGAAGTCGAGGTGGTATTTTATATAGGATGGTCAAGGAAGGCCTCCCTGAGGAGGTGACATTCAAGCAAGGATCTGACCGAAGTGACAAAGTGAATATATGAAGGAGCCAGGGCAAAACCTTGAGACTTTGGGATCCTGGACCAGCAAGCAGACTTGTGATGGGAGCCACAGTGGTAGCAAGGAGAGAGGGAGGACATCAGATTGGAGAAGGAACCATATGGTTCAGCCCCTGGGGGTCTTGGTGAGCCTGTTGAGTTTCATTAAGAGTGCCCGGAAGCTGCTGGAAAGGCTTTGACACCAGGACCAGGCAGGCTGGCCCTCTTTTGCAGCTCCCTTCCCCGTGAGAGCTAGCCCCAGGGCTGGGCTTGCAGGTGAGGCGGGAGGTGCGAGGCCGTTAAGGAAGGAGGTGGGAGAGCTTCGCCAGGTGGTCCGTCCCTCAGTGCCCTTTTCTGGTGCCTCTCCATCTTCCTCCTTCCCCTCCCTTCTCTCCTGCTGCACTCTTTGGTCCAAACCACAGTGTCCCAGTTTGGGGGCGTGCCCCGCCCTGGCTTTCTTGCCTTCCCCTCACAGGCAAGGCTGTGTGTACTCTCCTCTCTGCCCCACCCCGGGACCCTGCCGACTCCCAGGCAGAGCTGTGGGCAGTCTCCGGGCTTGGACACCTTGTTCGATGTTATGGCTGCTGATCCAGGTGCCTGGCCTCTCACTGGCAGGAGTGAGCAGGCCCTGGGTCCTAGGATTTTATTCCAGTTTGTCTCTTCAGCTGCTCAGAGAAACAATTTCACCACGCAACTATTAAGCACCCACCATTGTATGCTCTGAGTGGGGAGGAGGTAGGACCAGGGACACTGACAAAAACATGAAGAAAATTCTGTGCCCTCAAGCTGTTTCCCACTAGTGGGATGACCCCCCTGCAGAGCTGACTGGGACAGGTGACATATGTGACAAGGGAGCTCACAGGTATTTGGTCATGTTGGGGAGAGGGACGTTGTTTATAGGATGTTGTCTTAAAGGAGGTCCCATTTAAATTGGGCTCTGAAACACACAGAGGCCTTCCAAGGGGAGGGGATTGGGTGGTCATGGGGAGGGCCTCCTGCCAGAAGATTTTAAGTCCAGGGCAGCGTGAGCCAGTAGCATGCGCGGGCCTCCCCTGGTGTGAGTGCCCCGCTGAAAAATAAACAAGCCTGGCTCAGAGAAGAGATCAGCACTCAGGGATCAGTGAGCTCCCTCACTCCACACTCACCGAGGTGCCAGATGAGGCGTTGCTGCCGGGAGAAAAACAGAGCTGGAGGGGAACTCATGGATCATGCCGGGCAGTTCATTTTCTTGAGGTCACGGAGTCCTTTGAGAATCCATGAAAGCCATTGACTCTGCAGAAGCAGTGTATATGAACACTGGCCGGGTTTATCTGTACATAAACACTAATTTTTTTAATTGAGATATAATTCACATTTCATAAATTTAGTACTCAAATGTGTACAGTTCAGTGATTTTTAGCATATTCTCGAGACTGTGTAGCAATCACCACTATATAATTCCAGGACATTTTGTTACCGGTGACAGAAACTCAAGGTCCTTTAGTCATCATTCCTCATTTTCCCTCTGTCCACCCCCTGGCAACTGGTCTACTATCCGCCTCTTTGGATTTGCCTATTCAGGACGTAGTGTGCAAATAGAACCACACAGTGTGTGGCCTTTTATGTCCGCCTTCTTTCCCTTGCCATGCTGTCAAGGTTCATTCATGGCGTAGCAGGGGTGGTACCTCCTTCCTTTTCATGAGTAGTATTCCATTGTGTGGAGAGGCCATATTCTGTCTCTCCACCATCATTTCATGCACATTTCAGTTGTTCCCGCTCTTTGACTGTTGTAAATCATGCTGCTGTGAGCATTCATGGGCACATTTACACACCAACATCCACAAACCGCTTCAGAAGGTTCATAGAACCCATGAAACCCATCTCTTGATCTCTTGATCTTTGAAAACCTGGTTTTATTTGTAAAATGGGAGGAATTCAAGAGGGAATGGACTCATCAAGTGGTATACATTATATATGTTTAGGTTTTTGGTAGAAAGAACACTTTTTTAAATAAAATAAATTTTAAAAAGAGAGGAGGGAGAGGGCAGGAAGGCTATCAGTGATTTATTGCTCTTTACTCAGCACCTCTAGGTTGAGCACTTCACACATCCGCATTCATTTAACCCTAAACAGCCCTACGACACAGTGTTATTTATTGTGCCCATGTTACAGGTGAGAACACCGAGGCTCGGAGAAGCCACCCGGGCTTCCTGGAGAAGTCAGGATTTAGGCTGAGCCTTGACTGTCAGGCGGTGAAAGGCACCTACACATTCTGTTTCCTCTTGACCTCCATCAAAGCCCCTATTTCCTTCCATTCATTTTTGGAGCGCCCATGTCCCATATGCCAATAAGGCATCCGATTCCTGAGGACAGTCAGGCCCAGCGCACAGTGGGCCTCTTAGGCTCTGTACAATGACCCTTCCCCAAAGGGATGGTGACTGAAAGCCCTGCCTCCCTCTCTTCCCCTCCCTGGGCTCAGCCTCCATCCTGGCCAGCATGTGTGTCTGGCTGTGGTGATAACAGCTCAGGGGCACTGAGGGCATCCCCTGAATAGCTGAGACCTCCATAAATGATGCCCTCAGTGTGATGTCCCTCTGCATGCCATGCCCAGAAGGAAGGGGCCGGGGTCAGGCTAAGGATGGCATGTGGTCAGAGGTTCTATGGAGAGGGGGTCACTGCCATCCGAAGCCAGTGTCAGCTGCTGTGCTCTACTTTGTCTCCCAGCCGGTGGACAACCAGCAAGCCCTGGTGCGCAGGGAGTCCGCGGTCAACCTGGAGAACTTCAAGAAGCAGTATGTCCGTAGGCGGTGGAAGGTATGTCAGGGCTTAGGGGTGGGGGCTGTGGGTACAGGGGACCCAGGTGGGCTCCTTGTTCCTTTCTGGGTCTCGGTGCACTTTCCCACCTGGCAACTCCTTTTCTCTCCCTCCCTCAGCTCTCTTTCAGCATTGTCTCCCTGTGTAACCACCTCACCCGCTCCCTGATGAAGAAGGTGCACCTGCGGCCGGAGGAGAACCTGGTGGGTAAATGCAGTGCCCTCTTCTAGGGTGGAATTCAGGGGTGGCCTGGAGCTCAGGGATGAGGGGGTGCAGATGGGACTTAACTGTTTCCAGCCAGTTCTGGTCCTGCCCACCTCTGCACTGTGTGGTTGATGGAGGCCTTATGTTCAGGGGGTCCACGGAGGTGGTGCCAGGAGAAGCCTCGATTCTGGGGGACCTCGAATCCTCTCCTAGAGGATTTTGCCACAGCACTGCCCCCACCTTTCCCTGGGGACCTGCAGCCTGCTGGGGACCTTGAGCTTGAGGACTCTGGGTAAAGGGGCCACCAAGGCAATCCAGAATGTATTCCTGACAATCCGAAGATCTGCAGTAGAACAGGAGCTTTATGTTCGTGTTTCAGTGGTTCCATTTCTGTTTTGCTTTACATTATAGTAATTGATTAACATTAATAGTCATAACAATTAGATATCATATTTAATTAGCTTGTTCCAGCTTTGTTACATTTAAATTGAGAAACTTGCCATACACTGATCAAGAGTGTGGCCTCTGGAGTCAGGCTGCCAGGATTCATATCGCCCCTTTAATGGCTGTGTGGCTTTGAGGAAATTATTTAACCTCCCTGTGCCAAATATTATCATTTGTAAAAGAGAGTTAACAGTACTTCCTGCCTCATGCGGCAGTCATGAATATCAACTGATGACATATTCTCAGAACCTGACACTCAAGTGCTCAATACGTATTAGCAGTTCTCGTCGTTGATAAAATGCTTCTGTAGACTTTAGATTCCCGCCCCCCCCAGTGCCTCCCCAGTGCCTCTGCATGCGGTGTTGCAGTGCTACACCCCACCCAGGTGTACCTTCAGCTGCTGGAGTTTCCGTGGACGGATGCTCCCCAGTGCTCCCTGTGTGCAGGGCCCCAGGAGTGTGTGGGACGGCACAGGTCAGGAACGGACGTGGCTGTGCTCAGGGTGGGGCTGCACGGCAGCTGCCTGACGCAGATGGGCAGTCAGCCCGGAGCAGCCTGAGAGCACACTGCACTTGGGCTCAGCCGCTGGACCGGCACAGCCCCTTTGCTCTCCTCCCACCTGCCCCCAGCCACACACATCCTGGGTCCTCTTGCTTCAGTCTGAGCTTTTTAAAATTTATTTATTTATTTACTTTTAGAAAGAGGAGAACAGAGGGAGAAGGAGAGGGAGAGAAACATCAATGTAAGAGAACATCAGATGCATTTCTTACACCCCCAACCAGGGACCCTGCCTGAAACCCAGGCATGTGCCCTGACTTGAAATCGAACCAGTGACCTTTTGCTTTGCAGGACAATGCTCAACCCACTGAGCCATGCTGGTCAGGGTCTGAGCTCTTGTTGATTCTTGCCCAGGACTTGAGGATGTGTGGTTCCAGAGGACTGCAACAACTGTGTGGCTTTGGCCAAGCCATGTCCTCTCCCTGGTTGTTTCCTCATCTGCTATAAAAAGGATTGGACTCCTTCCCTCTGAAAATCCCTGTTAATGGCTGACAGAATCCATCTCCCTCCATTTACTTTTTCATTGTTTGGCTCTGATGCATGCTAAAAAGTTGCTATTCAGCAGAGCTTGAGTTATTTTTATTGTTATAGCTGGGATGGTCCAGGAGGTATTTGGATGAAGTTGATCTTGACCTTGGATTTCTAGGTGGCTTCGGCCAGGGGAGGGAGAGAAGGCCCTGGGAAGGTACATGGCACACCTCCCAGCTGAGCGGCCCTGAGATAAAGCAGCCAAGGGGACACAGGACCGAGAGCATTGAAAGGACAGTGAATTTCTATCCTAATTTTTGTTCTTGTGTAAACATTTAAAAATAGTCCTCTCTTTACTCAAATGCTCAGCATTGTTAGCTCAGTGGCTCACCCTACAAATGGAAAAGGATCAGGTTCTAGACGTCCATTATAAAGTTTCCCCAAAGGGACGTCTCTTTTTTTTTTTTTTTAAAGTTCTTTTGCTTAGGAAGCATTAAAATTGAACATCTCACAACAGATATTTTTATGACTTGCTTATGTCTTTCTGAAGTAGTTCTTATAATACTTTCAATAGTTTGTGAGGTCAATGTGGCCTGAATGGAAAAGGCTCTGTGACCTTCAGGGCCCCAGCTGTGGTCATCCACAGAGTGGGCTTTACTGTTCCTCTTCCGTGAAGATGGAAAAACTGCCCGGCAAGGCTTGCTCAAGGTGCAGCCCAAGCCAGTCAAGGAAGAAGGTGTGTGGGGTCAGAGGCTGGGGAGGAGCCTTCTCCCCTCTCTTCTCTCTAGTCTGAGTTCAGGAGACCCACAGCACACACACCATGTACCCAAGTGGTCTTGATCCAAGGTGCAGCCACCAGATATAATTTTCATGATCGTTATAATTTGGCTTCTCCTGGCACCTGGTTCTTCTAGATACTCTGCCTGTTTCCCTCCTCCTGGGAGGAAGGCCTCAAAGCATTTGGTCTGGCCCCAGTTCAGTTCCTTCTCCTTCCCTCCCCGTCCCTCACCCATTCTCTGGACAGACGACAGCCTCCTGCCTCTCTGGCTTGCAGGCCCCCGCCCGTGTGTACCAGCCCAGGCGGCCCAGCACAACCCCAGTCCTGACGTCTCATGGCCCACTTGCCCTGGGTCTCTCTCTTTTTTTTCTAGAGGAACTGTGAGAGTGACACAGAGGAGGACATGGCCAAGAGGAAGGCCCTCCACTCCCGGAGGAGGAGCAGTAGCTCCTAACTGGCCCAGCCCTCGGGGGCCACCAGGAAGGCCCGGGCCCAGCAGGACCTCCTTCTGTGCGGACTCTCGGTCCCCGTTGGTCACCAGCACCCAGGCATTCTTCATTCCTGAACGTTCTGCAAGAGAGATGGGCCTGTAGGATTCTGAAGCATTTGCAGGGGGAGCCAGGAGACTGGGGGCTGTGGCTGTTCCCTGTGGAGGAGGCGCCTCCATTCCCAAAGCTCTTATCCTCCACTGAACAGGCTCCCACCTGTCTGCCAACCTGAGAGCCTGGGGTACGGGTGTGGCCTTCAGAAAACAATGTAAAGGACCATTGTCATCAAGGGTGAAGGTCAGACTCAGGCAGTTTTCCTCATAGGCTGAGGGAGTTCAGAACCAGCCTGGTCAGTAATTATACCAGCAGGACGGAGGCCTCCCCCATGGGGACAAGCCAAGTGAGAGAGGTGAATCTTGGGGTCTGAGGGACCAGTCCTGTGACCTCCGAGAACCCACGTGGAGTCAGCTCATCAGGCCGACCAACATATCAGACTTTCTAAAGCAGCCCATGGCCAGCCCACTGTATTGTAACTTTTTTCATTTTTATTAAAAGTTTGGTTTACCTGATGCTTGGCTTCTTTTAGGGCTATCTCCATCAGGAGGTCTCTGTGACTCTGGGGGAGCACCAGGGTTAGGGTGCTGAGTGGCTAGTGCCGCACACTGAACCATCCCCTCTGGACTACAAGGCATCCAGCTTCCGTACCCTTCCCTAAATCAGACACGGCACATAACGCCTGTGCTGTCTCCACGGCCATCTCCATCACCCCTGACGGCAGGGGCTGAGTTGTGTCTCCCAGCCTTCAGGACCACAGAATCTGACTATACTTGGCCATATGGTCTTTAAAGAAGTCATCGAATTAAAATGAGGTCAGTGGGCTCTAATTTCGATATGACTGGTGCCTTTATAAGAAGAGATTAGAACACAGAAGAAAGGCTAGGCGAAGGCACAGGGAAAATACAGCCATCCACGAGCCAAGGAGAGAGGCCGCGGAAGAAACCAAACCCTGCCGATACATCCACCTTAGCCTTCCGGCCTCCGAACTGCGCGCAGATACCTTTCTGTTGTTTAAACCACCAGTCTGTGCTACTTTGTTAAAGCAGCCCTAGAAACTGACACACCTGCCAACTATGGCCAAGATAGAGGCAGGCGGCTTTTTAAAGATGTGGTTAGAGAGGGACAAAGAACCCGCAGGGAGAAAGGAGAGGACAGAGAGAGGACACTGCTTGAACCCTTGAGTGAGTGTGGTAAGGGAACCTCGCGGACGCAGATCCCCGGGCCATGCTTTCCAGGCCGATGAAGGGTGTTGCTGGCCAGAAACCCAAGAGAAGACCCTTGGAAGACAGAAATCAGAAGGGTCAGGGTGAGGCCCTGAATTTGAGACAGCGCCCGAGAAGAGATGGGAAGAATGGGAAGGTTTTGGAAGGTGACCAGGGAAAAGTGAACCAGGAAGGAGAGGGGGAAAGAAGTAAAAAGGGCAGAAAGTGAAGGGCCTGGGGGACAAGGGGAGGCGGACTTTCCCTTTGTCTGCAGCAGGTTTGAAGCCCCTCGTGTGAGGGGGTGGACCAAGCTGCCTTCCTCCAGGTGGGTGGGTACATCCCGCAGGAGGAGAAAGGCCTTCCAGGCAGAAACGAAGTGGACCTGCAGACCTGTTGAGACGCTGTGGGGTTGACCTGTAGTTCTCAGGCAGCACCAGCTCTGGGCCTCTGTGCAGCCTCGCGGAG